TGGTTAAAAATTACAATTTTAAAAAGTTGTTTTTTTAAACAATATTTTTTGTGTGCAACTTTTTGAAATGAATGTTTAAACAACTTAGAAAAATATTATACTTTTTTCTTTTTATTAATTTAATTTCACTTTTCAATAAGTTAAATAAAATTTATTTATTTATTAAACAATCAACAGAAGTAATAGACGCATCTCGCATTCCTATGATGTAATGTTTAAAAATGATGTAATGTTCTTGAGCAATGATAAAATGTAAACATTAAAATTTAGTAGCTATTTGTATTTTTTTAAATATGTGTGATTTTACCTGTTCCACATTGAAAAAAGTTGAAAAACTTGGTTTTGGAGGCAGTGGAGCTTATTGCTGTATTCTACAATGCAAAAGTGCATTTTATGATTCTCAAGGAAACAAGTCAGGCATTGGATTATTTAAAATTCCTAAGGACACTGCATTTTGATGTAAAAAAAGGAGCAAATTAATGTAAAAAAGAAGGTCTTCTCCTAGAAAAAAAAAGTACTTGAAAATTTTGAAAACGTTTCTAAAAACGAAGACATTAAAATTAATAAATAAGTACAGTTAATTGACTTTGAGGTTGACAGCAGTCTAAAAAGAAGCTGTTGTCAGGACAACATAAAATTGATTTATTTGAAAAAGAAAAACAAGAGTTGTTATCTAAAATGCGCTATTTAGAATCTGCAAACAAAATAATAAAAAATCAATTAAATCAATATAAAATAAAACATATTCCTAGTTATAAAAATATGTCAACAGACAAAAAATTATTTAATAACATGGACAAATTTTCAATATTTTTTATTGGGAAGTGTTCTTATTTGGCCATCACAGAAACAAGTTGATAAGTATATGCCAGAAATCTTCAAGATGACATTTCATTCAACAAGATGCATCATTGATTGCACTGAACTCTTTTGTCAGAAACTTTCATCACTAAGACAGCAGAGTTTTCTCTAATTATAAACATCATGTAACTTATAAAGTATTTTTTTCAAAATGGTATTTTTCCATCAGGAGCTATAACTTTTATAAGTCAACTTTATGATGGATCTATTTCTGACAAAGAAATTGTTATAAAATTGTGTTTTTTTAATAAAGAATTATGGGATGAAAATGATTCAGTTATGGCTGATCGTGGGTTTACCATCTCAGATATTTTGAAAACAATCAATGTTAAATTAAACATACCATCTTTTTTAAACGGACAATTACAGCTATATAAAGAAGATACAATAGAAAATCAAACTGTAGCATCTTTGAGAATTCATGTAGAACGAGCTATATGCAAAATAAAAGTATTTCGCCAAATAAGTCAAGAAATTCCTTTAGCGTTTCATGGGTTGATTAACCATCTATGGACAGTCACTTGTCTTTTATGTAACTTCTTCCCAACACTTATCAAAAATTAAAAATAAAAACATTTGTTTACATATTAACATTGTTATCCAATATTTGTGTTAGAAAATAGTTAATGTAAAAATTATAAAATTGTAAAAATAATTCAAAAAAGAATTGATTGTCAAAAGGTGTTCTTATGGTAGCGATTCCCTTAAATTTATACACAACTAAGTCGCAAAACTGGGCATTATTTAACCCCATTGCCATTTGTATTTGTGTATAATAACCAGTGGGATTATCTTTTTTTAAATATGGTTCTCCATTTTCTAATCCAATATAAAAATCATTGTCACATTAACATTTTGACATAATTTTTTTTTGTTTTGAGACATTTAATTTCAATTATGCCGTAATAATACTCAGCTTCATCAAGTACCAGGCCGTCAGGACTTGCAGATAACCAAAATAAATTCGGCTGTATTACAATTCCAGTTTTCCTAACTGAAATATTACGATTTAATTTATTTTTTAAAACTTCAATATATTTTTCTTGTGCATGTGGTTCATAAATATAACCGTGGTCTAAAGATTCTTGTAAAAACTTTGGTAACTCGATAGTAACTTTGGTAAAACTTTAGTAACTTTGGTAACAGTTTTTTTGGGGTTAATTAACTGTTGAACAAGAGTTTAAAAATTTTTGCTTGCGGAAATTTTATGAGAAGTACTTGAAATTAAACAATGTTTTCTTAGATTAAACCACAATGGATTTTCATTTTGTGTTAATGTATCAGCTTCATATTTTCTACTTTGTTCAGAAGATACTTTTATTGACAACAACAAATCTTTTTGTTTCTTATTAAGTTTCCAGTTGCATGGTACATAACAATGATTTTTATTATAAAAGCCAAGAGGTGGTAAAGGAGGAAGTATGTTGGACACATGAATGAAATTGCTGGAATAACTTCAAAGGTCTCATTTACCTGAAGTTGATAAGATAAAGCAGAACCAGTTGGAAAATTTCCGAGTAATGCTTCAGTAAAGCTGAAAATGTCAGGTACGCAATGAACAATACCAGTATTTTTATTTAAAAAAGCAACATTTGATTTCAATGTACAAATATTTTCTTTTAAAACTTCTTCTTTAGATTTTATTCACCTAGATTTTATTCATCATATAAGTTAGTTTTAATACCTTGCTTAAATTCAAATTTCTAAACATTGGTAAACATTATAGGGTTTTTAATTGTCTTAATTTTATGACTTGGAAATGTTCAAATGCTTTGACCTACTTGAGCATGAAATCTCTTCAGGTACACACTCAAGTAAATTTAAAGAATAATCTGCAAGTTCATATAATAATGCTATCACGGGATTGCAATACCCACTATTTCCTGCAGGGGATGAGAAATAGGCTTTCCTAACAGAGCTAGACAATCTGCTAATATAAATCTTTATATCACAAACTTCATTTTTCATACTTGCCTTGCATTTTGCTTTTACAATTATATAAGTAAGGGTATACAAAGTATAAGTATATAGCTAATATATATCATTCAGATTGAAATCTTTTTCCTCTTAAAAAAGTTTTTATTATAGCCATATTTTTGATTTTAGCATATTTTTTTTTCTTTAATAGTGAACTGTGGCAAGTGTTTTAAACTTTCACTCCATACCAAATTTTCATCTAAAGATTTCAAATTAGCTGAAATGCTGATAATTCTATTAGTTTATAAAAAAATTGTTATTTTATTATTTTGTAAGTATTCCATAGTTTCATATACTTATGAATTCATATACTTGAGAATTCATATTTTAAAAGAAGCTTCATATACTTGAGAATTCATATTTTAAAAGAAGCTTCATATACTTGAGAATTCATGTTTTAAACTATTTGTTATTTACATTTTATCATTGCCTGCGTACATTACATTATTTCCAAACATTATGTAATTGGAATGCGGAATGCGTCTATTTGTAAAAGCATTTTGTGTAATTTTAATAAAATGTTTCAAAATATAAGTTTTAAAGTAATTTATTTCAAACAGAATTTAAAAACGTAACAAAAAGTCATTTTAACTTTGAGTTTTATTTTAAAGCTTTTCTTTTTTTTTTTAATTTATATTACTTTTAATTTTATTTTCTATATATATACTAAAGTATTTATTTTGTAGAACTTAATTCCCTTTAGTCAAAATGTCTGATAACTTTGCAAATTGATCAGACAGTTTGAGGTTTTAGTCGTACAATGTCCGATGTCTGACCATTAAATTGAGCCCTGGAGATCTGGATGCTAAAAACTAGAAAGAAATCATTTTGTGACTTTCAAACCGCAGTCTTTTTTGTGACTCCGCCTCCCTGAATAAAATTCAATAAACAGGTGAGGGGGTCTTAATAGGCTCTGTGTGAAAAAGTTTTTTGAAAAGTATTAAACATCTACTGCTGTGTATTATGCACTTAAGAGTACCACCTTTTTTCTTTACTTTCGATTTACAAATTGAAAGGGAAAAACTTAACTTCAAAGTAACAAATTTAAATAAAAGTAGTAAATTTGACCTTTTTTTTTGTTTAAGAAAAGACCACTCTCCAATTATTTGTAATAACTCTAACTAAACTATTCAAAACTACGTTTAAATTTTTTTTTTTTTAAATCGAGCTACATTGGCATTTTTGCAATTAAATTCACCCCAGTAGAATTTAGTAAAAGATAATGGTCAAAATTATGGGTGTTATATTTATTTTTAAATATTTTAAGTAGTTTTATAGTATTTCTTGCCTCAAAATATGTAAGTATACATGTTTTCAGCATGTAATAATAAAATCACAAAATTCAAACATATGGTTAGTGTAATAATTAATAAAATCACAACATTAAAAAATATGGTTGGTGTAATAATTAATAAAATCATATCATTCAAACATATGGTTGGTGTAATAATTAATAAAATCATAACATTCAAATGGTTGGTGTAATAATTAATAAAATCATATCATTCAAACATATGGTTGGTGTAATAATTAATAAAATCATAACATTCAAATGGTTGGTGTAATAGTTAATAAAATCATAACATTCAAACGGTTGGTGTAATAATTAATATAATCACAACATTCAAATAATGAGTAATAAGAGGTATAAGGATAATAAAATTATCTGAAAAAGGAAATCAAAAAAACACAAGTATTTTTTACTCAATTAATTTACTAAAATAATTGTCACAAAGTTTACAAACTCACTCGGTCACAACAATGTAAAATGTATTGTTTTTTTTTTTTTTTAAGTTTTAACAATAAAAGAAGAGAACTAAGCAAATGCAACCATTTAGTTAGAACCATTAGTTCTCTTAGCATTGATAATGCTAAGAGAACTAATGACAAAAAGAAAAGTAATCATTGGCTATTATTTAATAAGAAGCTTTTTACTCAAAATAACAAAACAAAAATCTAAATAAAAGCTTGGTTAAGAATTAAAATAATTTGTAAATTCAACTTTAGAAATAAAATGTAAAATTTGTAATGTATTGCTTCTGAATTCAAAGTTATGATACCTGTGCATTCTATAAAATTTAAGATGATGATGATGACGATGATGATGATGATGATAATGATGATGATGAATTATTTATTTACATTGTTTTATTATTATTTAGATACATTAGAGATTTGCACAGCACTAAAAAAATTTTATCGTGAAAATTATGGAAAAGTAAATGAAATTCAACCACCATTAAAAGCACCTGCAAGTGTTGATTTAATGGATAACTTTGTTGATCTATGTATTGTTGATGCAGTTAATACTCAAATGGATGTTGTTTTTAATCTTGAACGATAAAAATTTCTTGAAAAACAAATGAATTATACACCTATTCCATATAGTGATATATTTATGAAAGAAAAATCTGTAATATTAATATCTGGAATAGCTGGTATTGGAAAAACATGTTTGCTTCATAAATGTTTGCTTGATTGGTCAAATGATCTAATTTGGAAAAATGTTGAACTTGTATTTTATTTGGAATGCAGAAGGCTTAATCAATATCAAAATATTTCTAATATTAATGAATTACTAAATGTTTTCTACAAAGATATTATAAATGATTTTGATATTAGTAATCATCCTGCACTGTTTATAATTGATGGGTTAGATGAGTTTAAATATTTAAATGAGTTAATAAATTGCAGTTCAAGTTGTAACTATCCAATCGTTAATGTTTTAACAGAAGTTCAAAAATACAAATATGTAGTTGCTGGTAGAGTTTATGCAATCGATCAATACCAAAGTATATCTACTGAGCATAGTAATAAGTTAACCATTCAAATAATGGGTTTTAACCAAAAAGGAATAGATAGTTATATAGAAAGTAAAGTTAGAGAAGAAAAAAAAAATCTTGTAAAAGAAACTTTAAACGGCTCTTTAATAGCAAAAGCCATGGCATCTGTTCCATTTTATTTATGTTCCATGTGTAAAATTATTAGTAATTCAAAAGAAATAAATAAAAGTTGTTTCTTTACAATGACAAATTTATATGCAAGTATCTTTTTATACTTTTTTCAAAATCACATCATAAAAAGAAATATATTGATCAGTGACATTGTTGAAGAAGATTCCTATAAAAAATATATTTTAAATATTTGTAAAATTGCATATAAATTGTTTGTTGAAAATAAAGTAATTTTGTCAGAAGAAGAAGTTCAAACTTTTATCATTGATTTTGATAAAAATGAAAGTAATCTTTTTGGATTTATAGAAAAGATTGAAACAAATCAGGGATGTTATTATCAATTTGCACACTTAACAATAATGGAATTTTGTGCATCTGTATATGCATATAACTGTTTAAGTAGTGAAGAGATTTTAACCAATAAAAAGCTGGAGAGTTGTTTATCAATGATTTGTGGATTAACTAATGAAAGCCAAAATAGTTTATTAAAGTTTCTTGTTAACTTAAATCTCTCAAAAAATGGTTCTGAAGAACTTTTGTATTCTATTTTAGGTAAGTTCTAAAACGCATTATTATGAGTCAATGTATAGAAACATAAAGCTGTTTGATAAGATATGAAAAATATATTATTTTTTACCTTATTTTTCTAAAAATAAGTTATTTCTGTCATATTTGACATAATTGGATGGCTGTTCTTTTTTTAAGCTTTTTAACTTTAGGATAAATGGCTTTAGTTACTTTTAAAACTAAAAATAAGCTAAAAATGTCATCAGTAATTAAAGTTAACAACAATCAAAGATTATCAACAAAAAAAATTATATATCAATCTGATAACAGATTGCATATTAATAATATTAAGCCATTTTTAATATAAACGATTTTTTTACTTTAACCAGAGTTAATGCAGTTTATAACAAATGTTGTTGTTTTTTTTTTTTTTACCTAAATTGAGTTGAGTAAGTTATTTAAAAATTAGGTACGCACTAAATGTGCTATATATTAAATAAACAAAATGTGTTATATATCGTTCAACTTGTCTTGTTTTATAGGTAAATATATTATTTTTAATTTGTTTAATAGGTTAATGAATTGTTTTTTAATTTGTTATGTGAGTTATTTTATAGTTCCTTTTGTTTTTTAATAGGTATGACTTTGGTAAACTAATAATAATATACAATTTTAATTTGTTTTTTAGTAATTTACTTAGTTATTCACGTATTTCATTTTTCTTCAAGTGACTTTAACTATGTTAATGACGTCAAAGAAAGTAACGTAAACAAAAACCGCAATTATTTTTTAGTTCCAATTGTTATTGTTTTTTTATATAATATTTTTTTACATAAAGTTATTTGTTTATGTTCTCCAATTTAATAATCACATATTCAAGCTTTAAACTTGATTTATAGTCATTTTAGAAAATGTGATGAAAAAAATTTCGAAAATTTTCTTTTCTTCACAATTCGCTGGATTCTCATTTTATAAAAATTGTTACGATAGTTACGATACGTTATCTATTACATTTATTTTGTTCGATTTATGGAAAGATTTTTTGAAGTTCGATGATCGAGTTTTTAATATTTAAAATCTCATAATTCGGTTTTCTTTTCATTAAATATTTTTGGGAATCATTTTGTCACCATCGTCTATTAAAATTTTCACTGATAAACTTTTTAAACTTGTTAAGGTGTAAGTATATTTCATTTTTAATTTTTGTAATTAGTTAATTATTTAAGAAATCGTATTTTGAAACTAAATTCAAATTGGTACAAAACAATAACTTATAACAATTTTTTTATAGATATCAAGCGTATCATTATTTTTTAAATTATAAAATTATTTATAAAGATACAAAAATTAACACAAAACGTTTTATACATTTTTTAAAGTAATTTTAATTTACAGCTCATTCTTTTGTCAAAATAAAACTTGTCATACTGATTTTTCAACATCTTGAGATCGATTGTATTTTTAATTGACTTTCGAATCGATTGTATTTTTAATTGACTTTCGAATCGATTGTATTTTTAATTGACTTTCGAATCGATTGTATTTTTAATTGACTTTCGAATCGATTGTATTTTTAATTGACTTTCGAATCGATTGTATTTTTAATTGACTTTCGAATCGATTGTATTTTTAATTGATTTATTTTGCTTTCTTTCCTTTCTCTTTCTGATATTATTCCGGTAAGAAATTTTTTTTGTATTTTTTCTTGCTTACAACGTATGTTTAATTTTTGCCGGGAACGTCTGTTACTTTAGCTTAAAAGTACAGTGAAATATCAAATATATTAAGTAAAAAAATATATTTAAAAAATAATTCTGTATAATAAAAGTTTTAACGACTTCTAGGATTTGTTTTTTTATTTATTTTTAAAACAAAAAGTTTTCAAATTATTATTATTATTAACAAAAAAAAAAACATTTTTTTTAGTTAGAAATTAAAAGATTCGTTGTTTGTTTTTGTCATTTTTTAACATTAAATTGATTTAAAAATTTGTTGATTGATATTTGTTAATTTGCTTTGTATCTGCTATTTAGTATACTATTTTTAAAAATTTGTCATGAAAAATTCTTGGCATTTTTTTCAACCTAAAATATGAATTTGTGTTCGGTTTGGAAAATCCCGCTTATATATACTTGAATTTAAATAGCTATGCTTTAACAACCCTGGTAGCCATGTTGTAACAATGAAACTATTTTTAATTATGATTTTTATCAATTTTTTGCGAATAAGTTTTGATATCGTTTTCCTTTGTTTTCCGTATTTCTTATTATAAGTATTTCTTATTTTCTGTTCTATATTTAAAATTAACGGTGAAATCGAATATTTAATATTGTTTATTCACATAACTTATTTTAAAAAAGATAGTCAAAGAAGATTTTCGATTTTATATTTCTAAACTTATTTTTTTTTTTACAAATTCGATTTACAAACTTTAATTTAAAATCTGTGTTTGAATAAAGTACGATTTTTTTATTTGTTATTAAAACAACTAAACGTTGTTTTTGTGAATTTAAATCAATTTTTACGTTTGTTTGGAACGTATTTTTATTTATTTAAATTAATTTGTTATATATTATTTTAAGCATGTTATATTTATATTAAAAAATGAAATTATTTTGTTTTAAAAATGCGATAAAAAGAATTTTTAAATAAATAAAGTTTAATGTGTGAATGATAAAAGATCATTATAATTAGAAATTGATATTGATTTATGTATTAATATGGAGAATATTATAATGTATATGATATTATAATTTCGATTATTATTTTATTTTTTATTTAATTGTTATTTTATATTTATTTTTTCTTTAGATCGTCTACTTAAATTATCTCTTCAAAGTCAAACTTATTACGTTAACTTATACATTGAATGTTTTTATGAAAGTCAATCATCGTTTACTGATAAAACAAATTTAATTGTTGATGAACGAGAGTGGGAGATTTCGATTGATGATGGAAAAACTTCTTACGAAACTTCTTGTGAAAATTATTTTGTAAATCATTATATTAAATCTGGAAGAAAGTTATCGTGGTTAAATGTTCATAAAAATATTTTAAGTAATGAAGAAAAAAATCTTATAATTCAATGTTCAACGAGTGTTCGTGTTGTCGTCTTTTATTGTCCATTTAAATTCGAAGGATGGAAACTGAAAGATAAGATTGAATGGTTAGTGATATTTATCTCAGGTTATTTTTTAACGAAAAAAGATTTTGAAGAAAATTTTCTTCCGTGGATTATTCTTTGTGAAGGATTATGTCTTTACCTTCATGACGACATCGATTTTATTGAAGAGATTTTTGAATGGATTCGTATTTCGAATGTCACGAAGTTGTTGATCAACTACCGTGGAAAAGATTTTCGAAACCTCAATGAATTTAAAAACTTTAAAACACAGAAAAAAGTTTAATATCTTAAATAAAATATAAATAATACTTATAAAATAATAAATGAAATATTTAATATATTATTTTAAAATTAAATATGTTGTAAAATATACGAGTTAATTTTAATAATATTTTAGTTTTATATTTTTAACGTATTTAAAAATTTCAATTTGTTTAATATTATTTAATAATAAATTTTTTAATATATATTAATAAATTTATTTTAAAATAATAATAATAATAATATAAATCATTAGTTGTTTTATATATTATTATTATTATTATCATTATTTTATTATACATGTTATTATTGTTATTGTTATTATAATAATTTTAATAATAACAGTATTGCAACATTCTAAAAATTTTCAACAACTTCTAAAATGAATGTTTAAAAATAAGTTAAAGTTTCTTATTTAATTAAATTTTTGTCAAATAACGCAGGTTTATAAAATGGATATCGATAAAGAGGAGAAAGAAAAAATTGAAGAAAATAATAGTGAGGAAATAGAGCCTTAAGAGAACAACGAGACCCTTCTTCCTAATCAATTATTTTGTTCCAACAGAAAAAATGGCGTAGCAGAACTAAACGGATTAAAAGTTCACTGTGGAATACGAAAAAACAGTGTCAATAATAAAAATCAATTATTTCAAGTTACTAACAGAAAAAAAAAAAAATGGTAACAACAATAGAGGTTGTAGAGGAAGGCCATGTGGTAAAAAAGGAAAACCCAATGCTATTGTTGCAAAAATTAATCAACAAGGAGTTGATTGAAAATCAACATGGTAGCATGTTCAAATTGGTAATGCTGCTGATCCAATTATACCTTACTTTGAAGTAGACGGAGTTAGAGTAAGAGTATTGCAAGGAAATCCTTCTCCTTTAGATTTTGTTGACCTATATCTGACACCTAATATTATTGAACTCATAGTTGATGAAACAAATCGTTATGCTCAAGATTTTCTCGATATGAATCCAGTTAAAGCCAGTAACGCTTATGTAGGAATTAGGGAACCAGTAACTGTTTTAGAAATAAAAAAGTATCTGGCTCTTGTTTTCTTTATGGGAGTTATATATAAACCTGATATTCATATGTATTGGTCTACATTTGAGTTTTTTAGCACTCCAATATTTTTTAAAGTAATGTCGCGCACTCGTTTTCAAATAATTTTAAAGTTTTTACACTTTAACAATAACAATGATCCAAATTATGATGTAAATGATAAAAATTGTAATCGATTACACAAAGTACGACCTTTTATAGAACTAATTAGAGACCTATGTATAATATGTATTCTACTCCGGACAAAATATTAGTGTTGACGAATCATTTGTATGCTTTAAGCGACGGTTGCATTTTAAGCAATATATTCGTACAAAAAGAGCACGTTTTGACATAAAACTTTATGAATTGACCACATCAAGTGGAATAACACTAGATTTTTTAGTTTATTGTGGTAAAGGTACGTTTTATGAAGATGGAAATGAGGATATGCCCAGTACTAAGCGAATACCAACTGCACTAATGGAACCATTTTTAGGCAAAGGACATATACTGTTTACAGATAACTACTACACAAGTCCTTCATTAGCAACTTTTCTTTTAGAAAGAAATACATACCTTTGTTGAACAGTTAAATTGAATAGAAAAAAGTACTGTAAAGAAAACGCTGCGTTTTCATTAGAAAAAAGAAAAGCTGGATTCTATCGCACCACAGTTGATTCACGTGTTATTGCATGTAAATATCGAGCTGTCAAAAATAAGTCAGGAAATAAGCTAAAGATGGTATATATGTTGTCAACTTGCCATTTAGTAAAAATGATTGATACTGGTAAAACCTATGCAAATGATTCTGCAATATACAAACCATCAGTAGTACGATCATATAATAGTATATAATAATTTTAAGCACCAATCAGAGCTATATTTACCAAATTGTGATATCTATTAAACCTGAAATTATTAGAGATTTAAGGCACCGATCAGAGTTATATATACCAAATTATGACATCTATCTATTCTGATATTCTGCCTAAGAGACTAGGATTACTAAAAATTGGTCCTGTTTGTCATAGTAGATAGCTAACTACTGCTTTAAAGTTTTGAAGAATCTGGGTGTCTAAATATAGATTAGCAGGTGAACTTTTAAATAGATTGAGAATAATTGTTGAGTAAAACATCTGAAAGTGCTTCACATGTCTTTGATTAAGCAAAAAGATATACATCAAATGGCTAGTCAGATCAGGTTAATCCTGCTACTGGTAACATGTAACCCAGTTCAATCTGCTTCATGTCCTGCTGCCTTATAGGATATGCCTTTTTTGGCAAAGACTAGAAGATGCAAACTCCGACATAAAACACCCTGCCTTAAAGTAAAGGCTAGAGATGGTGTTTCAATAAAAATACTCATCTTGGGCAAATGTTAATGCATCCGGCTGCTGTCTTGTAGAAGGCCTCCTAGGGCAAAGACTTAAGGGGTAAACAGATTCTATCTGTTGACCAGCCGCGCACCCCTTCTCCATCTATTAGGCTGGCGCAGATGTATTTTTAATACATTGTTTTCAGTTTAGGATGTTGAACGCTAAATCTTCTTGACTCGATGCATGGGTTTTGCTTGCAATTTTGCTTTTATGACTAAGCAACTCATGCTATTATCTCCAAATGAGGGTACAGCTCTAAAACTCAGTTTTATGGTTCTGAGGCCTGCTGGTAGACAGGTTTCCCGAACTCTGATGTAGCTCTCAGAGAAGCTGAATCCATCAACAGCTAAAAAATATCAGAGTACTAACAGTGCCATGTTGCGCATGGATGGTGTCCCTGTTTGTACTTTTGGTGTGTATTGCCAAGGCCACATTGGAGCCCTTTATTACGGCTTAGAGTTTATTAGTGGAAATGAGGCAATTGCTTGGGCTATAAAACAGTGTATTAAGTACTATCTATGTTTCGAGTCAAGTTTTTTAACAAATTTTTAAATGAATAAAGTAACAAAAACTATAAAACACAAAAAACCACAGTCATCACCATGTTCGCTAAACCTATCATTCACCAATATTCGTGGTCTTCAAAGTAACTTTTCTTCTGTCGAGTCTTATCTTTTACAAAGTTCACCAGACCTACTTGCTCTTTGTGAGACTATTTTGAGTTCAGCTGTCTCATCTTGTAATCTTAGTGTTGATGGTTATTTTCTTTTAATTCGTAAAAACTCCAATAGTCACATGCTTGGCCTAGGCATTTACATTCGTAAGAATTCACCCATTTGTCGGAAAACTAAGTTTGAATCCACAGACTTCTCTTTTTTGTGATTTTGTTTTGCACACTTCACTGTATCACCTTTCTCTTTGTTCTATATTGCTCTCCCTCATCTCAAGACTGCACTCTTCTTGATGTTATTTCTGACTATATTGACCAAGCCCTCATTCTTTATCCATCAGCAAATATTGTTGTTGGTGGTGAATTTAATGTTCATCGCACTGAATGGCTTGGCTCTAGTGTCAGTGACTACGCAGGCATTAAAGGCCCACAACTTTTGCCTTTCTCAATCCCTAACTCAAATAGTCAACTTTCCAAGTCGCTTTCCAGACAACCGGAATCATTTACCTTCTCTACTCGACTTATGTCTTGTTTCTAATCCTAGTCAGTGCTCAGTTTCTCCACACTCACCCTTAGGTGCTTCTGATCATGGTTTGGTCTCTCTAAAACTATTATCTCATTCTCCAGAAAACAGACGTCTGTTTATTACTAGGGCAAGTCTGTAATTCTACCTTTTTTGTACGGTTCAGACTTTGTCACCTCACCTAAAGACAAAGCTGAATTGTTTGCCAAGAACTTTTCATCAATATCATCTCTTGATTCCACTAGTTGCGTTCTACCTGATATAGCCGTCAAACAGGTTGATCCACTGCTCGACATCCGTATCACTCCAGCTTTTGTATCTAAAGTGATTTCCTGCTTAGACTCTTTTACAGCTTGCGGCCCGGACATGTTATAGTTTTTCAAAAATGTTCTCCGGAGCTGTCGTCTATCCTTTCAAAACTATTTAAAAAGTGCTTATAAGAGTCTTGTTTTCCAGCCTGCTAGAAAGCAGCATCTGTTATCCCTATTTTTAAAAATTCTGGAGAGCAATCCGATTCATCCAACTACCGTCCCATTAGTCTTCTTCCAATCATAAGCAAGTTTTTTGAATCTTTAATTAACAAAAACTTAATCTCTCATCTTGAATCTCATAACCTACTATTTGCTAACAGTAATAACCGATAGGTTTTATCGCGCATTAGATAAAGGTGGAGAGGTAAAGGCTATCGCTCTTGACATTTCTTTGGCATGCTGGTCTTCTCCATAAGCTTTCTTCTTACGTTGTATCTGGAAACATCTTTAAGATTATTGAATCCTTCCTTTCCAATCGTAGTATAAAAGTTATCTTTAATGGAGAGCACTCTTCTTCTTATTCTGTAACCTCAGGGGCTTCTCAAGGTTCAATCCTTGGCCCTATACTCTTTTTAATTTACATTAACAATCTTCCAGATATTCTCACATATAAGGTGGCATTGTTCGCTGATGATACTACCATTTATTCTTGTCACAATAAGAAGCCAACTCCCTCTGATTGCTTGCAGGGGGCATCTGAGTTTGAAAAGGACTCACTTCTGCTACAGCATGGGACTCACAGTGGCTGGTGAACTTTAATTCAGATAAAACTCAGTTTTTTTTCAGCCAATTGTTATCGCAATAATTTAGACCTTCCTATATTTATGAACGGTAATGTACTTGATGAGTCTCCTACCCTTCATCTTTTAGGATTAACTCTTACTTCTGATCTTTCTTAAAAACCTTATATCAAATCCGTTGTAAAATTAGCATCTGCTAAAGTCGCTTCTCTTTATCGAGCTCGTCACTTTCTTGCTCTGGATTCTATTCTCTACCTCTCTAAATCTCAAATCCAGCCTTGTATGGAATACTGTTGCCATATCTGGGGTGGATCTTCTAATGATGCCCTTTCTCTTTTAAACAAGGTGCAAAAACGCTATGTAAACATAGCTGGACCTACTCTTGAAGCCAACCTTTAACCTCTATCACATTGTCGTAATGTTGCTTCTCTTTCTCTTTTCTACAA